AATAGCAAAGTGGATGAAGCGAATGCTCAACTTGCCAAGCATGGTGAGTTGTTGTGGCAGATACTGGAACTTCTTCAACATCTAGTACCTGTTCCTACGCCCTCCTTCACAACAATGGATCGCCTATCACTGGATCAGGCTCTCGAAGTCGGTTTTCTTCAAGCTCGATCACTAACCATGCTTGAACAACAAATGGACATAATAGCCTTGAGTCTTGATAACCTCTTCTCTCGTCATGCTGATGACAAAGAGGGGAGAAAGATTTCGCTACTGCTGTTGTCCCTACAACACCAGCTGAAGCTGATGCTCAAAGAGCTGAAGTTGAGGTTGTTGATGATGCCATCACTACCCATGAAGCTGAAGCTGAGGTTGTTGATGATGCCGTCAGAGCTGATGCTGAAGCTCATGACGAAGACCTTTCTATCACCTCTGCAGTTGATGCTGGTGATGAGGAAAATGAAGGTGAAGATGATGACGATGACTCTCCATCCTTTTCTGATGCTGGAAAAGATCTCGGTGGTGATGATGATGATGAAGACGACGATGATGATGACTTCACGATTCAGTACCACAGACCTGCCAGCACTCTGAAAGGAGTCTCTCTGAGGGATTCTTCATCCCAGGGGAGAAAGAGAAATAAAAAGAGAATGAGACTTCCATAAAAAACCAGAACACCTCCTCAAACGACAAAGGTGTTGCTGAAGAAGGAAATCTCAAAGTTCTCTTCAAACCTGTTGTACCTCAAGATACCGAATCTTCCAGGTTTGCAATTGTCACTTCCTTATGTCAACTCTCTTCTTCTATCCCTTCTACTACATGTGGTCGTCTAGAGGAATGGGTACATGAAAACCTAACTTCTAGTGTTTCTAGCAACCAACAGAGGACCCAGCTTAAGGAGTCACTCAACCAAACTAGAGTAAAAATTTCTTTTCATACCTCTAGTGGTGGTGAGGTTGACTTCCTGACTGAAGCTGAAAGACTCGAAGCACTCAAGGCTGAGGAAGAACTCAGAATCCAGCGATAACCGACTGAGGACAGCCTAAAGCTGGCCAAGTCTCTTGCTACTCAAGTTCTTCCATTGAATCTTCTAAAAAGATGGTGAACGCTGTCAAGGCCCAAGCTAAGTTGCTTTCAATTGCAGAAGCTGAACGTGAAAAGGCAATGAAGCTGAACGACCGAGATAGGAAATGGAGCGAAGATCGTTTAAATAAGAGAATAAGTCCTCATCACATCTCAAGCTTCACAATCAATGGACAAATGAAAGATGGTGGACTTCTCATCTCCATGCTCATCACTAGATACAACCTTGAAGTTGTTACTGAGTATCCTTCCTACCTTGGACAATATGGCTACAGTGAATGGCTAGAAATCCGCCAAGCCATTCACCGCTTAAAGTCAAGGCACAAGCGAATAATTAAAGACACTCTGAGCGAGCTGATCAAGAAAATGTCCAAATTCATTGTTGTACCTTCAAAGCCGATATTGAAGAAAGGTGGAAGAAGAAAACCTTCAGATCCTAATAATGGACCAACTCCAAGGAATAAACATGAAACAAAGTTCTCCCTGGAGGAAGTCCTGAAGGATTCGAAGAAGCCAGACATCTCCATGTTGAACTTCTCTTTGACAGCGAAGGGTCCTTACATACCCAACACTGTGCATATAAAGCCTGAGTTTGGATTTATATTACTTGACTATGAAGGTGAACACAGCTTTCAGAGAGTGTCTGAGTTCGGTCTTTGTCCTATAGAACATCTTGATTATCTAAGATATTGGTTGGACGATGATCTTTATGGTGAAATGATAGACCGAAGGATCAGAAAATAATTTCTACGTCGAAAGATACTCGAAGAAGAAGTATCTGGTTACATCGACTTCAGCGACTTAGATTAGTTAGAAATTTCTGTTTTGTAAATTTTATCTTTCATTGTAAGTCTTATTTTTCTATGTCTTTTCTTTTAGTGTACAACTTATATGTAATAAGTCTAGAATGTACTGACTGTATCACTTGTAATTCTCCTTTGATTAATATAAGTATTTCATCAGTATGACTTAAAAAGATCCTTGAAAAGAGTAATAGGGACACATGTCTATGAGTTCCATTATGCTCTTACAATCACTAACAATCTTCAGTCAGTGAACATGCTTTCAGTTTCAGTTTCTCTTCTTGTACTTTTTCTTAAAATTGTAACTTAAGAAAACTTATATAGTAAAAACTGTATCACTGAAAAAGATCCCAAAATAGTTAAAAGGGACATGTACTTTATATGAAACTTTTCCTTACTATTAAACCTTAAGGCAATTTTTTGCTTTGTCATCATCAAATAGGGGGAGATTGTTGATTCTCTCTCTCATTGATTTGATGATAATCTCTTTTACCTTTCGAAGTATTATGTTTCTGCCTTTTCAGATCCAGCGATCATCACTGAGTCTATTCAGTGATCGCTGAAACATGCATTGTAATCCTACAGCGACAACAATACTTCAAGAAGACAAAACTCACACCCAAGAACCTTCAGTGAATGTCGAAGACTGAAACTGAAGATTAGGGACTGGCGCGTTCGTGATCTGAAGTGGTATTCAGTGATTACAACCTGGTCAACATACGTGTGAAGACTGCATAAGCCTCAGTGAATGTTGAAGAGACCTCCAGTGTTATTCCAACATTTAGCAATCAAATGAAGCTTGCCATGCACGATTGTTTTTGTCTTGTCCTTCCACACACAAAGGACAAACCCATACCCTTTCAAGAGTATAGTACTGCACGGAGCCGACTAGTCGACTCTCGTACCCACCAACTCCATGAAAGGATGTATGCTCATGAATAGACAATAGTACTATTCACTGTTGCAAAGGACAAGCTTTCCTCTAAAAGCTTGACGCATGTTCTAACCCTTCTGAATTGTATTTAATGCAATGGGTATAAATAGCTGAGTGCTCTCCTCATGCACTACATCAACGACACACAAAAGAACACATACACTTATCTTTAAGCAAGTTAGAATTTCTTTTTAGTTATAAAGTTCTTACCCAAGAAGAACATCTTTCTGTCTTTATCTTATTCGGCAAATTTCTTATATTTGCTAAGTATATTTGTGTGTAATCTTAGATTGTTTTAGATAGGTTATCTTTACCTTTTCTATTTTCGCAAACAATCTATAAATATCTGTATTGATCCTTCTATATCAATATATATTTTTAAAAGTAAAAGTTTTATCTGTTTGTATTCATCCCCCCTTCTACAAACTGTTCGCTGATCACTGAACATGTATTGTAATTCGTTCAGAGACTAGTATCGTTCAAGAAGACGAAACTCACACCACAGATCCTTCAACGATGTCAAAGACAGAACTTGAAGATTAGATACCAGCAAGTTCGTGATCTGAAGTGATTTTCAGTGATAACAAGCTTGTCTCCATAAGTGTGAAATCTACACAAGATTCAGCGAACGCTGATGAGACCATCAACATCATTCCAGTGTTCAGCGATCAAATGAATCTTGTTGAGAAAGATAGTTTTTGTCTTGTCCTTCTACACACAAAGAACAAACCCATACATTTTAAAGCAAAACATTGTACGAAGTCACTCCATTGTCTCTAAACGTGCTTACCTACTTTATGAAAGAAGACTGTTCATATACAGCCAAAAGACTGTATACTGCAACAAAGGACAAGCTTACCTCTTAAAGCTTGCCACATGCTTTGTACCTTCTGAATTTCATTAAATGCAATGGATATAAATATCTAAGTAGTTCTCTTCTTAGTTATCTTCTTCCTCATCTTATCTTACCCAAGAAGATACTTCTCTCTCTATTCTTTGTCTAAGAGAAAGATCCATTATAACAAGTGAAGAGCACATTACTTATTATCTTATTTCTTGTAGCAAGTCTTTTCTTCTTGCTATTTGTAATTTGTGTGTATCTTTGATTATTTAGATAGATTTTGTATCCTATCTCTTCCGCAAATAATCTGTAAAAATCTATATTGATCTTCTTTATCAATATAAGTTCTTTAAAAGTGAAAGCTATTGTGTTTGTAATCATCCCCCCTTCTACAAACTATTATCTATAAACTCTTGTAAATCCGGTTGGGACCAACAATTTTCAATAACTAGGACCCATGGTGTAGTATCGGGTTTAGACACAACTGGTTCATTTTCTTTTTCTATGATCTCTGTTAATTTCTTTCCACTCCTAATGGTCACTACTTTCACATGTTCCTTTTCCAAGGCTTTTGGGACTGATTGAGTGCAAGCTGACTGAAATCGGGTTTCCAAATTCCTGAGTGTTGCACTGTGATGATTAAAAAGAGATTGATTCTAAGAATATTGTTAATTCCACAATTGGGTTTGAGCTTGACTTTGAACCACTAAGCCTTTTATCATAACTTCTAAAGAAGATGATGATTCAGCTTATGGATGTGGCTTGTTTTGAAAAGATGGTTGGTGATGATTCTAAAAATTAGAACTGCGTGCATACTGTTGTGGTTAAAAATTCGAGGTTCCTTGTTGTTTTGGTGCGGGTGGATTCAAACATGGATTGTTCCAAGAAAAATTTCGGTGTTGCTTCCAACTAGCATTGTAGGTGTTGGAATATGGATTAGATCTATTATAAACATAGTTTACAGATTCAGAGTTATGAGGACAATGTTCATAAGAGTGTTCTCCCCCACAACAAACGCACTGTACTGAGAGGACTGTTGGAACAGGTGTAGTAGCAGCAGGTTCTACTCCCTGACCAGAAGTTAGGTTTTTAAGCATGGTGGTCATAGAAGTGAGTTGTGATGTTATTGCAGTGGATGCATCTACATCATGAATTTTAGCAGTCTTTTTTTGTGGATGAACATGTGGATCAACCCAATGCCCATTGTTTGTTGAAATTTTGTCAAGAATTTCATACCCTTCGTTATAGGTACTAGCTGTAAAGGCCCCTCTTGCAGTCTTATTGAGCATTTGTTTAGCCATGGGGCCCATTTGTAAAACGTCTCGATTTGAATAAAGTAATGAATGCATGGTGAGTCATTTTTCCTATAAGCTCTTTGAACCTCTCCCATGCATCAGGAACAACTTTATTGTCCACTTGTTTAAAAAGACAAATTTTATTTCTGGACTTTGCGTTCATAGTGATGTAAAATACTTTCGTAAAAACTTTCCAGCCATATTACTCCATGATGGCACAAAACATGGTGGTAATGAATTAAACCATGGCTTTGCCCAATCCTGTGAAGAAAATGGAAATAAAGGAACTCTTAGTGCGTCATAAGGCACTTCTGAGATCAAAAAAGCATCAGTGATTTCCATGAAAGATTTTAAATGTGAGTGGGGATCTTCCGATGGTAATTCAGCAAATTGTCCATTTGTTTGCAACTTATGGAACATTATGGGGTTTAGCTCAAAATAGAGGGCTGTCATATGAGGCCTAACTATCCCTGAGTAATCAGGACTAAAAGCAAGTATACAGTTAGTCCCAATATCGTATTTCAAGTAATAAAATGGTACAAGTATCGAGTATCGTCCACAGGGATCGTAGTAAAAGTTCAATAAAATCAATATGAAGGAAATGATTTCAGATGGCGATTTTGAAGACTTTGATTTGTGTGAGTTAACACTTGATGAAATTAACAGATAATTAAAGAAAGCCATGGTGTAAGACTTAAGATGTGATGTAAATACAATTTCCAGTAGACCAATGTTGTCAAAATGCTACAACATAAAGCAATGCTGTCAAAATGTTACATCATGCAATTAGTATCAACTATTTTCACCATTTATTTTGAGGGTATTCCTCTCGGACTTCACTATTACACTAATATTATAGCTTTCAGCCCATATTTCTATGTGGTATCCGAACCATTAAAAGTGACAAATGGTGTTCTTAAAATATATAGGTAAATAAATTTCTTTATTAGAAATCACTCTTTCGAGCGGAATCCCAGATCATTTAAGTTGACGTGTTCTAAATAGCTCATCTCTGAGTCCATTCCACTTTAACACTTCAAAGTGATAAACCTGTCAAGAATTAACCAATTTGGAAAACATAGATAACAAATCTCTTTGTTAGCAACTCTCTCAAGTCTACTTCCCATATCATCCAAATTGACGTACGATCAATAGCTCAGCTTAGAGTGCATGACACTTTAACACTTACAATGATCAAATCGTCGAGAAGTGTCATTATTTTTATAAAATTTGAAATGAAATAATGAAACTTTGTTGTTACATAAAAGGAAGTACTTTCTTTTGATTTACAAACTCACCATTTCCATCTCATACCCAAGCTAGGAGATTTAGCTACTCATGACGGAAAGAAAACTGCAAGAAAAGTAAATTGCAGTAAGTAAAGGTATGGAATCAAATTATGAATAGTAAATGACCGTATTTAAGAATAGAACGTAAAGATAGAAAGCGTAAAAAATAAATGAAAACTAGAATGCTGCAGAAATGTTTTGGAACTTCATACGACCCTTCAATAATATATATTAAAACTGAAATTAAAAAGACAATTAAACAAAGGTTTAGGGGAAATAAATTCATTTCTTTACAACTGAAATGGCTTGGAGATAAGTCCCAAAAGATTAACTAAAACCCCCTATTTATACTAAACTAGGAGGGACAAAAGAGTAATTAACAAGTAACTTGGAGCCAAAGATTTCTAACAAGTACACAATAGTCAAAAGTAGGAAGACTTAAGTGTACTACTAAGACAACTAATTAGAAAATATTGACAACTAATTTCCGGATTTAAATTTAAATCAAAATTCTTCCAAAATGTCTTCTATGAGCCACCAAGTTTGCCCAAAAGCCATTCCTCTCCTTAGACATTCGGTTCCTTCTATCAGCTAGCTGCAACAAAAACGCTACAACATGAGATCTGCTACACCAATCCTGTCCAAAAGTCCATATTAGCCTACTTTAAAGAGTAAAAACAAGTATATAATCATTTCTAGCTCCAAAAATAAGGAAATAATAGTAAAACGACTCAAGTTTGGGATTTAAATGGAAAAGATCCTATCTACAATAGAAGAAAATAGTGGTTTATCACTAATTAATTAGTGTGCATCATTTACTGATGATGGTCTTCATCTGAACTAATAACATCATCTTCTTGATCTCTTGCAACATATAGGACTGAGTCAATGCAAGCTTTTGTCTTCTCCAATATCTCTTGAAAAGCAACTTTCCAAGTATTATGGTATTCCCTGGATGATCCTTCTTTATACCATAGTACAGTCGGTGTTGCAATACCTGGTTTTTTATGGGTACAACATTTTGGGATTGATGTTATTTTATGAGCCTTTGGAGGTCCTCTAGTGAGTGGAATGCATTGTACCATGAAAATGTTTGGCACGAGAGAGTTTTGGTAGAAAAATGTGGTATTTCTAGAGAAAATAGAAAGTTCGGCCACTTGTCCTTCCACTTGAAGCTGTGGGCCAAGTCGCACAACTTTCTGTTCTGAAATTTTGAGTTCATGTATACACGTGATTATCCCCGTGACTTAGGATGCGGGAAAGGTCACGGGAAGCCTCTAGAACATCTTTTAAGGCTTGATTTTTCTAGAATTTTGCCCAAGCGTCATCCCCTTCATTCCCTCTTGGTTTGAGGCAATTTGGGGAGGTTTAGAGGATGTTTTGGGAGCTTTTTAGAGCAACATGAAAGGTTTTGTTAGGTCAAATATTATTATATCCGAGATCACAAAGCTTAAAGATTAAAGAGGTCAAAGCTTAAAGTCAACATAGTAACAAAAGTCAACATTGTGCTTAATTGTAGTTTACTTTGTAGTTTGACTTGTATGTGTAGTCAATCATATAAATATATTTATAATAGTAATTGTAAGAGAATAGATGCATACAAGAAGCACTCATATTGTAATATTCTAGAGAAAGATTGTAGAGAGAGAAGCATGTATTTAGAGAGTTTATCAATGTACATGATGATTTGATCTCTACATTGTTGTTATTATTATTTAATTCATTCTTATCCGATTGAAACTGGGTGTAATAGGTTTAACATGGATATTGAAGAAGCTTGATGGGTGATTTCAAGATCTTGAGAGGTAAGCATATTTGGGTGTTTTCAACTCCATTTTGGGGATTCCTCTTGGATCTAACTTATGGTTGATATTTCTTACATTTCTAGACTTGGGTTGTTGCCTAGAGAATATTTATAGAGATCTTTGCTCATGGATTCAAGTCTTCACCAATGGAAGCTAAATGTTTGGTTTTGGATCCTAGGTTTAACTTAACTTAGAAAGGTGAGTTCAAGTTGCTTTATGAAAACTTTGTACATGCCAAAGATGTATTTTGGCGTCTTAAAGATATTTACTTGATATTCATCAAATGTGTTGATCGTTTGATAAAACTTCATCTTTGGTTCTCTTGGTTTTATAATATTATGAAATTCCCCTGTGATAATCGGGTCCTGCTTATTACCCAAGGTATTGTTTATGTGAATTAATTGTTTATGTGGATACATGCTTACATGGGTTAAAATGTGTAAGTATGTGTATTTTATGCATACAGATATGCGCTTAGTATGTGGATATATATATATATATATATATATGTGTGTGTGTGTGTGTGTGTAAGTGTGTGCATGATATTATTATGCATGCATGTGTGTGTACTTACACATGCATGGCTGAGTTTAATTGCATGCATACATGAGGGTGAAGGCCTAGTTGGTCGACTTTCTATATTTAGAAAGTACAAATAGGGACTTTGTGTATCGGGGGAAATTTTCTTCTTTCTGGGATTTTTGGAGAGCAATTAGAAGAGGCTGTCCAATTTACAAGTTTGAAGACAAAAAGGGATTTTCAGTCTTTCTAAACTTATAAGGTGAGTGATTTCTAAACCCCTTTTGCATAAAAATTGTTACTGGTTTTACTTGAATATTGTTTATTATTGGTAAGAAATCAGTTATTCAATTAAGGTTTTTTATTCGGACAAGGGGTGACCGGGTTAAGTCTAAACCGGACAAAGCTTGTCCGGATTACTCTTAAACCGGACAGGAGGTGTCCGATTTATTTATAAATCGCTTAAGTGTTGTGCGATTTAGGGTGTCAGTGAAAATTTTGAACTATGTAAATATGACAAAGGTTTTGAATGGAGAAGTATGAATACGATCAAGCATTGTGCGGTTTAGCCTTAAATAGCCTAAAGGTTGTACGGATTAGTTATAAACCGATCAAGTATTGAGCGGTTTAGTCTTAAACCGGTCATGTGTTGTCCGGATTGTTTTAAACCGGACATGGGTCATGCGATTTAGTCTTAAATCGACCAAGTGTTGTCCGGATTAGTATATCGGACAAGAAGGGACAGTGTTGTCCGGATTATATATCCGGATAACTTATCCGGGTGATTTATATTTGATAAAATTTCAAATATTGAATATTTTAGACATTTATATTATTTAAAAATGTCTATTATTGGGTTTAATTGTGGAGTTATAAAAGGGGTATTTTATATCTTTTTAAATAAAAAGATATGTTCCTACCAAGCGTGGTGATGTAAGTCTGTTTTGGTATGGAACTGGATTTGGGAAAAGGTTTCTACCAAGCATGGTGACGTAAGTCTGTTTTGGTATGAAACTATATTTTGGGAAACCTTCCTACCAAGCGTGGTGACGTAAGTCTGTTTTGGTAAGAAACTTGTTTTAAGTAGTAGTTTCCCCAGACGTGGTGACTTTTGTTTATTCTGGCTTGGAACTGGGAGTGGGTACTTACAGACGTGATGACTTTTGTCTGTTCTGATAAGTAGCCCTGTTTTGATGAAGAAATAAGGGTGGCATATCAAGGAGAGGTGTACTTGGAATAAGGGAGGCATTGTCATATGTGGATAATATTATAACTCTTATTATTTTTACTAATTGGATTTAATAACTTTGAATTACTATTTCTTTGTCACCTGATGAATCAGAGATATTATTCCTATTAGAAACAACAATTTAGATGTTATTGAGAAGGGGAAAATGGTTTGTCATAAATGGTAAATATTGCCTTAAATCTTTCCGTTAAATATTTACAAAGGAATGGTCTAATGATTCGAAGAATCTTTGGTTACAATATTTGTTTCATATTTGGGAACGTTGAATCATTAAGCAAATGTATTTTATTAAT